TTTTTTAAAGCGCGCTGCATAGCTGATTTGAATCGAAATATCAAAGCGCGTAAGCGCCGCATAGCCGTCTAACTTGTAAATATTGGTACGGAGCCCATAAAAATGTACTCAAAATTGTTTACTTATTATGATTTATAAATATCTGAAAAAACCATGTAGAATATCTAATGATCATTTTTGACCGCCAAATGGCATTTTTTTCACTTTTTTATTAGATCTCCGAAACCGCTAGACCTGCCTCCTCAAAAATTTAATCAGTTCTTCATCTTGGTAATACAAGTAAAATGTTTTTTGAATTATTTAAATCGGACGCTCCGTTCTCTTAAAAACTGAGTTACCGTTTGTGGCACTTTGCCCCGTATCTCCGAAACGGCTAGACCTGCCTTTGTCGAAAACTAATTAGCATGTCTTCTTATCAATATAAATTGAATGTTTTTTTTGAATTATTCAAATCGGTTGACCCGTGTTCGCAAAATCGTCGACGAAAATTTGTTTCCGCACACACACACATATATACATTCAAGGTTTGCCAAAATGTTCAGAAACCTCTGAAACGTAAAGATATATAAAAATTTTCATTTTCGATTTTTTTACGATTTGCTGGAACTTTCTCTGCCACAATTAAATATTCGAGCAAACAAAATTAATTATCAATAGTTATTGATTGATTATTATTAACATTGATTGATGATTTTTACCAATATGTTTTAAATATGTTCAAAAAGATCATTATAATCACTACATATTTATTTATTCAGTAACGATCTTATCACTCAAAAAACTTGAAAATGTTTACATTAAGAAGAGATGCCGTGAATGAATCCAACTGAGGATATATTTCTTACGAGTAGAATATCGCAAATGAAATATATACATTTTTAAACTGAATTGTAAATTTAAAATTTATATTTAAGTATAAAATTTTGTATATTTTTGAAAATTTTGAAAAAAAAATTCTGGAAATTTTGAAATTTGTTTGAACCTTGCAAGTGAACTTTAAAAATTAAAGATCTTGGTACGGAACCCAAAAAAATTGTAACAAAATTTATACTTATCATTAAAATCTCTATAAAATACCTGTTAATTTATAGTCTAATGGTCATTTTTGTCCGCCAAATGTCTTTTTTTTCACTTTCGAAACTGCTAGACCTGCATTCCCAAAAACTTCACAAGTTCTTCATTTCGTCAATACAAGTAAAATGTTTTTTGAACCATGCAAATCGGACGTTCCGTTCTCTCAAAAAATCAATTACCATTTTAGGCACCTTTTGCCCCGTATCTCTAAAACGACTAGACCTGCCTTTGCCAAAAACTAATCAGCACGTCTCCTTATCTATACGAATCGAATGTGTTTTGAATTATTTAAATCGGTTGATCCGTGTTCCCGAAATCGTCGACGAAAATTTGTATATTCTCACACACATACACCCATTTTTTCTAATGTTCAGAAACCTTTGAAACGTAAAGATATGAAAACATGTTTATTTTCGATTTTTTTTTGCGATTACTCTAACTCAATTATTATTATTACAGGTTGCAGGAATGTACATGTGCACCAGACTGTTTGTAAATCTGACACAAGTGTTTACACCATTGTATCTGCATGAGACTTTGGAAATGTCGGCTGGTCAATTAGCCTTAATTCCTTTGGTTATGTTTATAAGTAGTCTTGTAACATCACCGTTGATACAACCAATTAATAAGTGTTTGGGAAGAAAGGTAATAATAATAATAATAATAATAAACTACTAAAAGAAAGCAAAATTAATTATTATATTTAACTTCCCGAAGGAGAAGTTTGTTTTCATAAAAAAATCCGATTCGCTAATTTTATGTTTCTCCTGACGTTTCAAGGCATTCTAAATCGAATGAGACCAAATTTAAGGAAAAAGTATGTGTGTGTGTGTGGTGTGTGTGCGTGTGCACGAACTGATTTTTTGCCGTAAATCGCCGTTTTCTCAAAAACGACTGGACCGATTTCAAAAATTTAAAAGCCATTCGATGTATCTCGATGAGGACTATTGTTTGTCAGTTTTGTGCGAAGATCGGCCAAGCCGTTTCTTCGTAAATGCAGAGAGAAGTGAAAAGTTTTCGTCCACGTTTTAGCCCGCAGTTCTGATCGATTTTGAAAATTCAAAAATCGTTCGAAAGATATTGGTTGGGAATCGACCTGATTAGTTTTTGGTAGAGATCGGCCGGGCCGTTTTCTTGTAATAAAGTTTTAAAAAAAAAATTTTTGACGATTTTTATGATTATTTTTTTGACGGTAGATACCATAGTCTTCTATACCATACTAAAATATTACGGCCCTACGACAACTAGTTCAGCTTTAAAAAATCGTCAAAGTTTGCAAAAATTGATATCGTTTTTTTGGGCATTGTCAAAATTAGACCTTTGATCGACGTTTTCTCAAAAACGTCTGAACCGATTTCAGAAGTTTAAAAGCCATTTGATGTATCGGTGAGGACTATCGTTTGTCAGTTTTTTGTGCGACGATCTGTCAAGCCGTTTCTTTATAATTTGAAAAAAAGTGTTAAACTTTTCGTCCACATTTAGCTCATCCTACCGAACCGATTTTAAAAAATCAAAAACTGTTCGAAAGATGTTAGTTGGGAATGATACTGATTACTTTTAGGGAAAATCTAATTTACCGAGCCGTTTTCCTGGTAATTAACTGTTGAAAAAAAAATTTAAGCCGATTTTCATGAAACTTTTTTTGGCGATATACATCATGGTCTTATAGAACTTACTGAAATATTACGGCCTTACGACAAGTGTTTAATTTTAAAAATTCGTCAAACTTTGCTAAAATTATTATCGTTTTTTTTTAAAGTAGGATTGATGAAGTATATTATTTACACATTTTTTTTTTGATTAAGTCGATTATTTACACATATCGGGAAGTTCATGTAACTTGCCTCAAGGCTAAATACCAAACCAACTAGTTTTATATTTCAGTTGGCTTATGGGATCGGAGCAGTGTTAGGAATATCCGCTTGTATATGGGCCAGATTCGGCAACGGCGAGTTTTACATCACGTATTTAATATATGTCGTAGCAGTATTATTTGGTATGTTGAAATTTAAATATAATATTAATCCAAATGTCCAAAATATTAATTTATCATCTATCTTTTTCAGGTGCTGCTGGTTCAATTCTTTTAGTGACAAGTTTAGGAGTTACTGGCGATTTTATAGGCAAAGACACCGATAGCGGTGCATTAGTTTATGGGCTGATGAGTTTTACTGATAAACTTTCAACGGATTGGCTGTGATTGTGATACAAAATTTGTAAGTAGAAAAATAATAAAAAAGAAACATTTATTTGATATAAATTGATTGTTGATTTTTTTTTTCAGGGAAAGCAAATTTACTGGAGTGACATTCTACCGTGACGTCCTTACATACGTTTGTGGAAGCTCGGCTTTGCTTGGTGTTGTCTTTTTAGCGTTTTTCAAACACGGAAACGGTAAATTTACACACAAATACTAATCTATATCAATTCATGTATACAGGGTGTCCCAGAACTCAACGTCAAGCCGAAATGGTGTTATAGTATTGGCTGTAACTGTCCTGAAAAAACCTAGAAATTATTTTTATCTTATGTTGTTTGGGAGTTATGAACTCTGGAGTTTATTCTGGAGCTTTGGTGGAATTATGACCATTTATTTGGGTTATTGTGGGTAATTTTTATTGTTGTTCATTTAAAACTTTGGAACCGTAATCATGAATAACATTTCTAGGACCAGAGAAAAAAAATTGACCAAATTGCTCCAAGTTTTCCAAAACTAAAACTTTCTGTTGAGCTATGAATTTAAAATTAGGTTAAAGGTAAATTAGGTCGATTTTGAGAGAATATAATAGAAAAAATGTACACTTTGACAAACTTGTCAAAACACTTTAGCACATTTTTTTCAGAGGAGGAATTCTCAAAGTCAACTGATTTAAAAAAATTAAATTTATGGTTCAACAAGAAGTCTTAATTCTTGAAAACTTGAAGCAATTGTTATTATTTTTTATTATGGTCTTATGTAAACATGTTATTTACAATTACGTATCTAAAGTTAATAAACATTAACCACAATAACCAAAAAACTCATAATTATTCATAATAATTCATTAACTCATTAATCATATTTTTTTCTCATTTTTTTTTATTGTTACTAATAATACTGTCACACCCTTTCAAATTGACATTGAATTCTGGGACACCCTGTATATGAAATTAAAGTTGACACTCCAGTCTGTATTTTGGTTTGTCCTTTTTTTCGTAACAAATGTAAAATTGCGGCCGACAGCCGTTGAGTTCTGGGACACCCAAAAAAAAAAAAAATATATATATATATATATATATATATATATATAGTATTAGAGTTTTTAGAAATTTATTTCAAATCCATACGTTTCGGCTAGCATCTTAGCCTTCATTCAGTGCAATCGATATAATTATAAAAATTAAAACTGAATAAATAATATGTAACAATAATAATAATTTAAAAAAAAACACAGTTATGTGTCCTAATATGTTTTTATCCGTTTAAGAAACAAAATTCTGTTTTCATTATTATTATTATTGTTTTTCTATGAAATTTCTTACATGTTATTTATTTAGTGTTAATTTTTATAGTTATGTGTATGTGTGCCCTGAATTATTTAATAAATTACTATATTTCTTTTCAGACAAAAAAAATCTCATAAAAAACAGTAAGTTTTCCAGTTGTTTAATCTCAACGTTTCGGAAAAAGATTTGTTCCATCATCAGGCTTTATTCTGCGAAAATTTGGTCCACATTATTGTTTGAAAAGCACTAGTATAAAATTGATATTTGTTGAGAAAAACGAAGTAAAAATCGTTTCCATTATTTGTTAAAGATTTCTATGTTAAGATTTTTTAACGCTATTTATTAAGTGCATATATCAAATAAGATATCAATTTTGTACTAGTCAAACAAGGATATGGACCAAATTTTCGCAGAATAAAGCCTGATGATGAAACAAATCTTTTTCCGAAACGTCGAAATTAAACAACTAAAAAACTCTATTTTTTTAGATTTAATAGAAAGAAACACGCATATATATACATTATATATATTATATATTATATATATATATATATATAATTTTTTTTTTCCCAGGTACTCCCCCATATGAAAGCCTCCTCGACAGCAGAACAAACATCAATGAAGAAATAACATCAAACGAAAACCGGCAAATAAATAACGCATCACAAAACGCTCCCCGAGAAGTTTTATAATATTTCTATTACTTTTTAGTGATATTTTTGTATCTAAAATTTATATTTTCACATAGAACTCAATTTCTGTGCCTTTGATGACCACAAAGTGGTCTAAAATGGATATACATATTTGTGATATGGTTTTAAATCAACAGACCAAAAGATATTACGAAATTATTTTATCACACTTTTGGCCGGTGTACATAATAATAATAATAATTTTATAAATGACATAAATAATAGTTAGGATATAATTTTAGCTGAATTTTAATAATGTTGATAATCTCAAATATTATAGTTAAATATATTTTTATAGCTAACATGCACAAATAATTAATATTCCATCACATAAGTGATTAGTATTTGAATTTGCTTTAAGCATTCAAACATTTCCGAATGATCTGTGATTCAAACTTGCAATAGATTTAAATATTATGTAAACATACTATTGATTTATTAATACAGTTTAGATTTTGCAAAACACACATGAGTTTTTATTATAAATAAATAAATAAAAACTTACATTGATCCACTACTAACAATTTTTCAATTAGTTCTGAATGTCGGTTTGCTGACTCTTGGTTTTGGTTTGAAAATACTTTCATCGATTATATTTTCTGTTACATCAGGAGCAGGTATGACCACGTGACCAGGTTCAGGTAGCAGCAAGTGTGGAGCAATCAGCATAAACAATTGCTGCAAAATATAATAATTATAATATAATAACTATATATTAGTTATTCAGAATATATAAATTAATAATATTATAATCGATTTTTAACTTAATGTCTCAAAAGAGCCCTTACCTCTGCCCATGGTAGCATTCCTTGTTTCGAAAAACACAATTGCCACTGTGGTAAACCCAGATGAGCAATACTCATTCGAAGATACTGCGAGAAAGAATTTGCCAATAACGTCCACTGCTGTTTGTTGTTGTTGTGCTCGGATGGCAAATCCAGTAACCAGAATTTAGGAGTTTTTTCAGACTCTTCATATATCATCAACACCTAAACAAATAAAATTATAAAAAACACCAACATAAACACATACATGTTTATCTATGCATAAACACATCTTTTATCCAAGTTTACCTTGGCAAGATTATCAATGTTATCAAACTCTATTATCCTGGACTTTTGTCCAATCCTCGGGGCATCTTCAACTGGATTTTGCTCCAACTCGTCTTTTAAAGTAGATAATTGTACAAATTCGGTGATGGAACGTATATGCATATACCCAACCTCTCGCAAGTCTTGAGCTGTAACAAAAATCGTTTCTGTATAAAATCAATATCATTTTATATAATACATAAATAATGTAGCTTACGTGAGTACTCATAGCTCCAGACTAATTTCAATCCATCAGTCGACAAGTAGAATTCTTTTAAATCTTGAGGCAAAATGCAGCAATGTCTTTGCTCCCAGGAATTTAATAACAAACGTTCACATGCTTGTTTTTTGTAAATTATTACATTTCTTATACGAGGAACATTTTCTAAAATCATGCTAAGTAAATTTTAAGCACGTGATAAAATAATTATGTTGTATATCTTACCCAAAACATTCGGCAAACCGAGTAATAAATTTTCATAAAAACTGTCTTCTATAGACATTTTAATACAAATTTTATATAACAATTATAAAACTTATACGATAAATTTAAAAGCACCGCCATTAGTTTACTTCTGTAACCATAGTTACTGTTGGTACCAGTGTTCACTTTTGACAGATAATTTCATAACCTAAAACTGCACATCTAATTCCTTTGACAAATTGCATAATAATATTATTAACGCAGAATCACTCATAAATCATGGCAAATATCGTGAGAAAAGCTGTACGTATATTTAAAATTAATAATGTGGCAGTTACTTTTATAATAGTAATAATTTAATTGTGTGTTTTTGATATTATAGACAACAGGTCTGACAGGTTTGGCAGTATCGCAAAATCCTCATCATACTTTGAGCGTTCTTTATGGCAAAATTTTAAGAACTTTGCAAAAAATGCCTGAGGAAGCCGCTTATAAAAAATATACTGAAAGTATCATCACAGAACGAGCAGCAATTGTACAAAATGTAAGCCCCATAATAAAACTTATTAACAACATAAATAGATATAATTGATTATTGTTTTATCCTCTAGACTCCTGATATAGCCGCAATTGAAGAAAAAATTGGTTGTGGTCAAGTCGAAGAGCTGATTGTACAAGCTGAAAACGAATTAACTTTATCCCGCAAAATGTTAGCATGGAAACCGTGGGAGCCTTTGATGAAAGAAGCTCCAAAAAATCAATGGAAGTGGCCTGCTGGTGTAAACTAAGTATGATTTCGCAATATGTAGTTATCAAATAAAATATTTAACCATAACATAAACCATTGTGTGTTCATTATGAAATTAATATTTAATTAAAATTATAATTACAATTAGATACAAACAATAGTTCATTATATTATAATATTACCAGCATACAATATTTTTTTTAAGAATAATATAATAAATAGTATTTACACAATGTACAAAGTTATAATATAAAATACACAACTAAGTGCATTCTAGCAAAAAAAATGCATAATGCAGTAAAATAAGTTAGTATAGTAAAATTCATATTAAAATCTTAAATTACGAATCAAATTTGGACACGTTCAAATGTTGTAAAGTATTGCGAGCTGGAAATAATAAAAAACAAATTCATAAACTTTGAAAATCATGATAAAAACTAGTTTGTGCCTACCTTGAAAATAGCAAGTGTCCAAAGGGTTCTCCAGTTGTGGTATAAATGGTGGCTCTTCTGATAACTGATTCTCCCAATTCACATTTTGGAAATACTCGAATAGTTTGACTTCCTTGTAAGCAGGCCTTACCAGCGGATCCATTGTTAGTAAAGATTCCACAGCTTGTACTGCGTTATCTGATAAAGCTTCATCGCCTTCAGGCCATTCTATATCTGAAAATTAACACAAAAAAGTCTTAGTTGATGCCTTTGAAGTGTTATTGAGTTACATACTTCTGTTTAGTATGTTGTTAAATACAGCTTGGGGTGTTTCATCATTGAATGGTGTTATTCCTGTTAAAAATTCATACAAACATACACCAAGGGCCCACCAGTCTACTGCTGCACCATGACCTTGCCTAGAAATAAAATAAGATTTTCAAATTATGTATGTACTTTTATTTAGGCAGAATTATGTTATTTTTATTAACTAACCTTAACAATAACTCTGGTGCCAAATAATCCGGTGTACCTAATATTCGTTGATCAGTTGAACCAACACCTCTCCTAACAGATTTTGGTGTCCTGAATGGAGTCTGTGCTGCTTTTGGAGTCCTATGAGGAATTTCATTACTTGATGTTCGACCTGTTGTGACAGACTTAGTGTTTGTTGTCTGTATTGGCGAGATATTTGGATCATCCTACAAAATAACAATACTTTAAAATATTTCTTGAGTCAATGAAATCTATCCTTGTATCACTTACAGATATGTTATGTCCTTTAGGATATTCTAAAGTACTTGATAACATCTGTTTTGATTCAATGGGTATATCAAATCTTGTATTTTTGTGTCGAATCATACCAGCATAGTCTCTTTTTAACTCATTTTCGCTGTCTGAATTTGTAACTTCTGAATTTTTTGGAACCGGAGTTGAAAACATCACACCACCAGCTGGAGGTGCTGGAGAATCATCTTCTGATGAAGACCTAAAATAACCAAATGATAAGAATAATAGAAAACTAGTCGTATGCAAAAATTTACTTAATAACATTTGTTAATGATAAATCTAGGAAAGTTTTAATTGAATTGCAGACTATCTAAATGTTGATATTAAGAGCTAAAACTTTTGGAGATTTTTTTTTATTAATTTGAAAGCATTTGAGCTCCTGGGAGCAAAGAAAGTCAAAAATGGATTTATTAAGGACCACCATAATATATATGAAAATTTTAATCCTTTTTTATTTAATTTTTAGTGTTTTTTTTTTATTATTATTTCTATGACTGTTATTGTTAAAATACTTAATAGTTAGTTAACCAAAAACTTATATTTATAAACACTTAAAAAATTGTGAAACAAAATATTTTTTCATCAAAATACCTAAAATTTGTAAAAGAAAAAAACTTATATTATAAAAATACTTAACAATGATAATAAAAATGATAATGATAATATTATTATTATTATAATAATAATAATACAATAATATAAGACACTTAAATTTGTTAAAATATCATAAAATAACCTAAAATTTGTAAAATAAAATAATTATATTGTAAAAGTATTGTAAAGCTTATTAAAATACTTGCAACAAACGTTATATTTAAAAATAATTAAAATTTACTAAATATAAATAAGTTTAGAGTAAATAAACTAAATAATAAATAGGTAATAAAATAGCTAAGAATCAATTAAATTATATTAAACCTGTAAAATATTGACTTAAGCCTTATTATAATATTATTATACCGACGGCTTGTAAAATAAATAAATAAATAAATATGGCATATGTTTAAATTACCCTTACTTGATTTTCAGTACTCCTTTCAAAATAGTTCGTTTCTGTAAAGATTTTTGAATGCTTGAAGAAGATTGCATAACAATAGCCCGAGTAGCTTTTCGTTTCGGTGTTGAACTCTCAATATCCATCAAATCAATTTCTTGTGTCAATCCTGTATGACTTCCACTACGCTCTTCTGTTATATTTGCATCGGGTGGTGAGTTGAAAGGGCCACCACGTTTACGCTTAGCACGGCTAGAAAATAAATTGTAATGTAAATAAAATTATATATAATATATATATATATATATATATATATATATATATGTGTGTGTAGATATTATAAAAATGCATACACAAAAGATTCTGGTCTCTTGAATTGATCTAGATCTTGAAAATGAAGTCACAACATGTTCAGAAGTATCCTCTGATAAAGATTTTGACCGTGATCGTTCTGTTAATGCAGGAGAACCACAACGTGATCTAAAATAACAATATATGTAAATTGATTGATTGATTGAGATTTACAAATTATTTCTATTATACATACCGTTTGAAAAAATCTCTAGCACTGCTAATATTTTTTGATAATATTTCATCAGAACTTTCAATATCCAAATAATCACATTTATTTTTATTGCTGTTAGACATATTACTTATATTGCTAGAGTTTGATTTTATAAATTCATCATTAATTGTATAATTTCCTAATTTTGTACTTGCATTTTCTTTGTCAGTTGTGCAATTATTGCTTTGGCAAGTGTGATACGAATTGTCCTGTTTAGAATATAATATATATTACATAAACCAAGAGTTATGTGTGTAAAAATTACTTGAGACTTACTGTTTTATTTGTAGAAGAAGATACAGCATTTACATTGATTTCAGCACTATAAAATGGTGTAATGCCTGATAATCTACTGCTATTTGTGGAAACTATAGAAACATCCAATTGATCACACACAAAATCAGAACTGCTGCCTTTGCCTGTTCAAAATACATTAATTTTATTACATATTATATATTAAACACTATCAATTATCTACAAACCTTCTTTATTCAGGTTTTGTAAAAGATTAGTGGAAACAGAATTTCTTTCCTTACTGCTATGACCAGAACATCCACTTCGTCTATTTACTGAATTGCCAAAGCTCAAATGAGAAGTCAAAGACAACAATTGACCCGGAGTACGTGTGTTCAGCGTTGGAGTACCATTTACTAAATCTGCTATTTCCAAATCTACAACAATAGAATAATTAACACTTGTACAAATTAATATAATTCAAAACAAAAGTACCTCTGTGTAATTCAATTTTGCTCAAACCAAAGTCTGTCAATTTAACATGTCCTTTACCAGACAGTAACATATTGTCCGGCTTTAAGTCTCTGTGAACGATTGAATGTTCGTGCAAATACTGTAGAGCTAAAATAACTTCAACAATGTAAAAACGTGCTATAGGTTCTTCTAGATATCCGTAAACACTTAAAAGAGATTTCAAGTCACCACCTTCCATATATTCCATAACCTTAAGAAGTAAAAGACATATTTTTATGTTATGTTACTTAATACAATATCCAGTTATCATTTACCAAATATATTGATGAAACTGATTGCAAGGAATAGTAAAGCTGTACACAAAATGGACTTCTGGACAAAGCTAAACAATTTCTTTCAGTAACGACTTGTGAAACCATATTTTTGTTTATCATCTCAGACTTTTTCATAACCTGCACAATTATAAATAATTAGCTTGCATATTAAACCTCTATTTGTATAACTGTTGTACCTTTATTGCATATAATTGCTCAGGATTAGTTTTCTTGAAACCTAAAAACACTTTACCAAATGCTCCACGACTAATTGGTTTTACAATAAAGAAATCTTGAATTTCCGGAGGCTGGGAAAAAGATTTATCAAAATAAAAATAAACTTTATTTTATTATTATAAGTGTATTTTATTATTTACCTTAGCGTTGACCGTTTGATTCTTCGTTATGGTGTTGAGTTTGTTAAAAATACTTTCTTCGTCGCATATTTGCTCACGTTTTGGTGTAACCAGACTGCTCTCCATTTCAGACGAATTTATAACTACATCATCCATTTTCACAGATTATCATATGATAAAAATAAAGAAATAATTCACTTAATTCATAACGACTACTTTTGTATTGATAACCTCATTTTTGTGGTGACAGTTAGAAAATGAAAATGTTAAACATGTGCTTCAGAGTGTACTAACGTTGCACAAGGGGACAAGAATAAATTTAATTTTAATACTATGTTTTATTCAATAATATATGCAAATTAAAAAAGCTATAAAATATTACTCTCCACAAAATTAAAAATTCGTTCAGTATTTAAAATATATAAAGGCACTTTGACAGTTGCATCAAGAACTAACAACTGTCAAAAGTTGACAGTTTGAAGTTCGTCAATGGTTATAGCCCTAGTTATAGCGGTAAATTCAAAAAGTTAAAATTATTATATATATTTAAGCTCAAATAGTTATTATATACAAGATTTTTGAATAATGTCAAGTTAATTTATGCAAAAAATGTATTTGTTTATATATAATTAACATAATATGCTTTATTTAAATTTAGGTTTAAGAAACGTCAAAACAATAAATCATTCAAGTCAAAATGGCGGTAGACAACAAATACGATTCAAAATGTGACAGCTTTTGCTAAATTGCATAAAATTAAAATACTTAACAATGCCATTTAAATAACCAGTTTTATAATTAACAATATGCCATTACATTTACACACGTACTCAAAACTATTGAATATGAGCGACATGACAACTTAAAGTGAAAGTTGTGTTAAAGATGTTCAACATCTCGCAGCAAATATTATCTCTTTTAATTCCGGTTTTAATTTATTCTTGTTTTATAACGACGATTCTAACATCGACTTTGCCTTTGAAGTCATCCAATGACAGAAAATTGGATTATGATAAAGCTGCAGTAAATATTGGTCCTGATAGAACTTTTCAACAAGTGAAAGGTGAAATCTCCATATGGACTGGGAAAATAAAACCGAATTCGAAAAATGATCCTACAAAACTGTTGAAAGACATATTCAATTTGTAAGAAACATGGTAATGGAATTTTAGAAAATACAAGGATTGTATCAATGTATTTATTTTAGGGCTGATCTTAACAAAGATGCATTGTTGAGTATACAAGAACTAGCACGATATATTAATGATAGAGTTAAAGAGCATATCGAACAAGCTATTGCAGGTATAAAGCCTATTTATAATCCCCAATTTGTTAAAATTAACATCTATATAATTTTATCTCAGGCAATTCAGCAATGTTCATAGAAGTAGATAAACAACCGCCTGACGGTTTAATTACTTGGGAAGAGTATCATGCATATTTCCTCAAAAACCATGGTTTATCAGATGGTTATGTTAATGAACATGATGAACGAAAGCATAAAGGATTAGACAGAGAATTAAAAGGTTAATAGTCTCGTATGAAATATTTGGTTCTTGTTTAAATATCTATTTTATTGCAGAAGCGATAATGAGAGATCGTGCAATGTGGTCAGAGGCTGCAAGAAACGACCCTTATAGTTTGACTTTGGATGAATTTCTAGCTTTTAAACATCCTGAATCTAGTGCTGCTAATATGCTAGGAATAGGTAAATAAAAATAAAAATTTTAACTATTAATTAAACTTAATATGTTTAATATCTTTGTATTTTTATCAGTGGATGATTTACTTGAAAAGTTTGATAGAGATGGTGATGACGTCCTGACTGAAGATGAATTTTCTACATTTCCTGACTATGGTAAAAACAATTATTCTATTACCATTTTACTTCAATAATAACTTCTACATTCCCCAGATTTTACTCCTCTATTTGGTGACGAAACAACAGTAAAAAAGCAGTCAAAACAAGAAGAATCAAACCGTAGAAAAGAATTTGTGCATTTAGTCGACAAAAACAGAGATGGTAAGGCTGATAGACAAGAACTATTAAAATACGTCGATCCCAGACACCCCCGGCACAGTTTACAAGAAGCAGCAACCTTAATGAGTTTAGCTGATGCCAATAATGATAACAATTTATCTCTCAGCGAGATTTTGAAAAAGATGGAGCTATTTTTGGGTTCTAAAATGGTCGGCACTGCTAAGAGCTTTCATGAAGATTTTTAAATAATATTTGTGATGTTAAATGTTGCCAAGTTAAAAATAAACATGTATTCACTTGCCATATCTAACCAGACATGTTACCAGACATCTTGCCGTTGATAAATGTTTGCATGATTGTAAAATCCATGAATGAAAAACATTGTTAATTAATAATTTCTCCATCTTTGCAAAAACAAGTATTTTTATAAAGTAATTTTAATTTCTAAATTTTAATCAAACCTGAAATGATATTGGAGCTAGTCAATTTATAACAAATCAAAAATAGAATATTAATATATCCGTCCTATATTATTATATTATATCACATATTGATTTTGTTGATTTTAGTATAAATTAAGTATAATACTCCTAACTGCTACTATACTATTTAGATGACATTTTTGTATGAGAAAAATGATAGAATTTGTATTGCTAAATGTAAAATGGATCTGAATAAATCAGATAAAATGAAACAAGATATATTATTACCAGAAATAAATTACATTAGACAAGACAATTATAGAAAATGAATGTAATATAATTTATTAATAAGCTCAAGCAAAAATTATTTGTATTCAATGAAAGGTATATCTATTTTAATTTAAATTATGTAATTCAAAATTATATTTTGAAAGAATATTATTACTAATACTTGTATTCCCAGTAAATTAAAAAAAAACTAATTTTCTGTGAGTGCATTATAAACAAACAAGCCCTTTATGAAATAATTCAAACCAAATATTTAAATTTAAATATAGTTTTGCAAAATTAATTAAAAATCTTAAGCCATTTTATAATACGCAAAAATATCAAAAACTGAATTAAGTATTAAGTTCAATTTATAAAATAAGACAAAGATATTCATATTTTAAAATTCGGCCGTTATTATTTCAAATTTTTGATTAACCAACTATTTAATTATTTTAAATTTTATATTTTTTGTACTAAGAAACTTTCACCAGTTGTGCAATTTTTAAAACGTGGTCTTTCTCAGAACTGATCTGACATTTGGTAGAGCGGTGCTTGAATAAATTTAAAAAGTAAATAAAATAAATATATTATTAAGTTATGGAAATACGGATTATTAAAATACTGTTTGATAGTTATTATTGTTATGTATTTTAAATAGTATTGTTTCATTATTGTGTTTTTTTAAATCGGTTTTAGTGAAGCATATGCTCATAACCTAAAAAATTTGATAAAATAAAGTTTTTTATGATAAAGTTGATTTTTATACAAATGTTATTATAAAGTTTATTGAATTAGCTGAAATATGCAAATGAGAACTATATTTTGATATATAATACATGAATTGAATCACTTAAATTTAGTATATTAAAAAGTGAGGTTATGTCACATATTTTTCTTTATAAAATTTTCTTCATTTTATAAGAATTTATAATTTTTTTTAACATAAATATATTAGTTTTCATGTAGCTTCTTGAATTTAAATGTAAATTTATCTTACTGATGAATAAAGTATGATATCAAGCATTTATGTAATAATCAAATAGTTCAAAGCGTTTTCAAAATAAATAATCAGTTAATAAAGTTTATGTGAATTTTGTGCCAATATATAAGGTGTAGACAATAAATCAAATATTTATTATTATTATTATTATTATTATTATTATTATTATGTAATATTCATATTAATTCAATATTATTAATTAATTTATCGAAACAAGAAATTTATTTGTCTCCAAAAAAGCCTTTATAGTTCTCCTATATTTTTTTTATAAATATTTTATTCTTCACCACAATTTTCTGTTTATTAATATTACTATTTCTTTTACTTTTTAGTATGTGGGAAGCAAAGAAACAATTAATTTGCAGAAATCTGCAAGAAGTCTTGGGAGATGATAAAATGACTGCAATCTTAAAAGAACGAGATTTGAAAATTTATTGGGGCACCGCTACCACTGGAAAGCCACACGTGGCTTATTTTGTTCCAATGAGCAAAATTGCAGACTTTTTAAAAGCTGGATGCGAGGTAAAGGAAATAAATAAAAGAAATGTAATTAAAGGAAATTACAAATTGTTATTTCATTCAGTAAAGAAAATAAACTATTTGTAATTGAAAAAGATTCCAAATTTCTTTTTCTGTAGGTTACGATATTGTTTGCTGACCTGCACGCTTATTTAGATAATATGAAAGCCCCATGGAGTCTACTGGAACTACGTACACAATATTATGAAGGTAAATAAATTATAACATATCTCTTGATTTTGAATTCATCATTCATCATATATATATATATATATATATATATATATATATATATATTATTATCTACTATTTTAGCTGTGATAAAAGCAATGTTGGAAAGTATTGGAGTACCCTTGGACAAATTAAAATTTGTCAAAGGTACAGATTATCAATTATCTCGTGAGTATACACTAGATGTTTACAGATTCAGTTCTGTGATATCAGAACATGATGCAAAAAAAGCCGGTGCAGAGGTAAAATTACTACAACTCTTGAGTAAATAAATTAAATTGAATTATTACAATTTTTATTCAATCAGGTTGTAAAACAAGTTGAGCATCCTTTACTGTCCGGTTTATTGTATCCACACTTCAAGGTTTAGATGAAGAATACTTAAAAGTAGATGCACAATTTGGAGGTGTTGATCAACGTAAAATTTTCACAATGTCTGAGAAATATTTACCACAATTGGGATATGAGAAACGTATACATTTGATGAATCCAATGGGTAAAAATCCAAAATCAACTCAGTTTTAACTTCTTTAATTGAATACTAAATTTATTTATTATTTTGTTATAGTTCCTGGATTAGCTGGTGGAAAAATGTCTTCAAGTGAAGAAGACAGCAAATTGATTTGTTAGACTCACCGGCTAATGTTAAGAAAAAGTTGAAACGGGCATTTTGTGAACCAGGAAATATTACTGACAATGGTTTACTGTCGTTTGTTAAGCACGTTTTGTTCCCATTGTTCAAAGAAGGAGAAGGTGAATATTCACAAATACTTTTCATAAAAATATAATATTATTATGATTATTACATTTTAGCTTTCCTTGTCACCCGGAAAGCTGAATTTGGGGGTGATTTAACATTCACAAACTATCAGGACCTTGAAGACAGCTTTGCCAAAGAAGAATTACATCCAGGGGATCTCAAAGGGGCTGTTGAAGTATACATTAATCGATTATTGGATCCAATTAGAAAAACTTTTGAAAAACCTGAATTAAAGTAAGTAACCAACATAATTTTGATAAACATGTATATTATTAATATATATTTATCTTTTCTAGAGCATTATCTGAAAAGGCTTATCCTCCACCGGGAAAAGCTGCAAAAGCAGGTGCTAATAATACTGCAAATAATGCTGAGGAGGTTTTAGGTCTCATCGCTTGGATATAAGAATTGGACGTATTGTTGAAGCATCAAAACATCCGGATGCAGATAGTCTTTATGTTGAAAAAATTGATTTGGGAGAAGAGCAACCAAGAACAGTAATAAACTAATATATATATATATATATATATATATATATATAAATATTGATATATGTTATAATTTTGATTTTTTATCTAGGTTGTCAGTGGCTTAGCTAATTATGTTCCCTTAGAAGAAATGCAAAACCGTATGGTAGTAGTTTTATGCAATTTGAAACCAGCCAAAATGAGAGGCGTTGAGAGCCAAGGAATGGTCTTATGTGCATCTGTGTAAGGATATTAATATTTATTTTTTAAGTAATTGAATTAAACTAATAGATTTAAAATTATATACTTATTTAGAATTTTTTTTTTTTTTTTTTTTTTTTTTTTATTTCTGTTAATTTTAACAATCAGATTACAATACAATCTATAAGTTAAAAGTTATGGTATTGAAAATCAAAATCAAAAAAAAAAAAATAGAATAAAGGAAATTAAGAAAAGAAATAGAATAAATGAATGAATAAATAATAATTAAAATAATAGTATTAATAATAAAAACGATAATCAATAATAAATAATAATTAAAAATAACTTGTTTGAAATTTTCCTGTGCGAAACAGGGAATTATGTTGTTGACGGTAGATCACTGGGCCATTTCTTTTCAGGCGTTTTATTTTTCGGCTGTTTGTACTATTGCATTTCCGGATTGACGTGTGCATCCAATTTGTTTTGAAAGATAAAACTTCTGTTCTTAATAACTTCCGCCACTGTTGGAATTTTTAGGTCTTTATGGATCATGTGGTTGGTCATAAACCACGGAGCCTTACAAATCATTCTCAGAGTTTTGTTTTGTACTCTCTGGATTATTTGAATGTTACTCTTGCTGGCGCAGCCCCATAGCTCTATCCCATAAGTCCATATTGGGATATTATTGCTTTGTATAAGAGGAGTTTATTTTCTAGAGACAGTTTAGATGATCTTCTCATTAGCCAGTTTATTTCCTTCAGTTTCAAATTCTTTTGTTTTTTTTCTTTAAAATATGCGTTTTCCAATTTAGTTTACTGTCTAAATGTATTCCCAGGTATTTTACGGAATCCTGGTTTGGTATAATTGTCTTGTTCAAATACAAGTCAGGACTTGTGTGACTTCTCAGTGAAATGATGAGGTGTTGAGATTTCTTAGCGTTATACTTATTTAGAATAAAAAATATTTATTACTCAATAATTGAACTAAATTCATCAATTATTATTTATATTATTTATTTAGAATAAATAATATTTATTATTGCACCAAATTATAAATTTAATATTTTATTTAGTGATGAACCAAAAGCTGTTGAACCATTAAATGTACCAGAAGGTGCAAAACCTGGTGATGTTATTAAAGTTGAAGGATATGATAGAGCACCAGATGCACAATTAAATCCCAGAAGAAAGTAAGACTTACGACAAAATAATAAGATATATAAGATAATATTTATGTTATTTATGTTTTATTAGGTGTGGGAGAAATTACAAGTTGATTTGAAAGTTAATGAGAATGGAGAAGCAGTTTGGCAAGGAACACCCTTACTTTGTCCAAGCGGACTTAAGTTGACTAGCAAAACTTTGAAAAATGTTCCGATCAAATGAGATTGCATTTATTATGATATTATATTTGTTATTTATTTGGGAATAAAAAGATTTTGACTAACTGTATGAGTTTAGAAGAAATTAATATTTAATTAACCTAGAAGGATAAGATTAAGATTGTTTTGGTAATTTGCTAATTTTATGTTTTTTCAAATGAGACTAAATCAGAAAAAAATGTACATGGAGTGGACACATATGCAATTTAAAAGATATCAATTACAAATTGCATTGATTAGTTTTTAATGAAAGCTGTAACTTCATTCTTCAAAAAAAAACAATCAAAAATTTTATCTGACTAGCTAAATCTAAAATATTATCTACTTAGATTATTTATATGCATTGGCAAAAGTTCATGCAACTTGCTTTAACACAAATGCAACTTACACCTAGTTTATTTAATTTTATCCCATGGGATTCTACTATTAATCTGATCTGACAAAAAAAAACTAGTGGTGCATGGCATAGTGCCTTAAGGCAAATTGCTGGAACTTCCCGTACCGAAAACTCAATTATGAAAAAAAAACTTTAGAAAGAATTAGATTTTTGAGAAATTTTGAAAAAAATGGACTTTTTCGAAACTTTCGATTCTTTTTGATTTTGTTCTGAAAATTTGAACGTTTTTTTAAGCAATCGCGCTGCATAGCTGATTTGTAGTCGTCTAACGTGTAAACATTGGTACGGAACCCATATAAATGTACACATAAAATTTGTACTTATTACTATAATCTTTAAAAAATATCTGTTAATACTATGTACATAAGTCTAAAGTTCATTTTTTATATCGCCAAATGGCATTTCTTTTTACTTTTTTTTGCTAGATCTCCGAAACCGCTAGACCTGCCTTCTCAAAAATTTAATGAGTACCTCATCTTGTCAGTACAAGTAAAATGTTTTTTTAGTTATTCAAATCGGACGCTCCGTTATCTCAAAAACTGGAATACCATTTTAGGCACTTTTTGCCCCATATCTCCAAAACGGCTAGACCTGCCTTTGCTAAAAACTAATCAGCACGCCTGCTTATAAATAGGAATCGAATGTTTTCAGAATCATTCAAATCGGTTGATCTGTGTTCGCAAAATCGTCGACGAAAATTTGTATCCGCACACACACACACACACACATACACACATTCATTTTTTCTGAAGTATGCCAAAATGTTCAGAAACATATTAAAAATTTCATTTTAATTTTTCTTGCGATTACTTTAAATTAGCCTATGAGAAGTTAATAATTATTTATTTTGGAGGAATAAAAAAAATAAGTTTGAAAAACGTTTTGTAAAGAGAAATAAAATTGTGCGCGCTATCTATCAATGCACATGTGTAACCCTTAAAATGTACAACTTAAAATGTAGACTTTGGACAAGTATTTTGCATCCTTTAACAAACAAAAACATTCCAAATCCTTTTATATCCTTATACAGAATTTTATAAGTTGCAACAGACATTTAAACAGCCGCCAAATCCAAAACAGCAGTATCCGATTCGAATCCTTGCTAAATTCCAACAAGTTCACACCAGATGCCGCCAGTACTACCAATCTATCTAATCTAATAATCCAATATGACGCACACAACGCAGATGATCTCTTGTCAAAATCGTGCACACAAAGAATTCCAAAACATTTCCCTACATATACAATATAAACAATAAAATTTAGTGCTTATGTTTCTGTGATAAGTGTCATAACCAAGAATTCTTATAGTACAAATATTCGTATGTATAAATTCGGTAACAGGAGGAAAAGAATTTCGTCACCATGGTGCTGTATATAATACCAAAGACTAGATTGTAAGTTATCAGAAGACTCCGTTATCTAATGTTACATATGTATGAAACGATGATCGGATGTTTTAAAAGTTTGCCAATTATAAAACACGGATATTGTATGACCGATAACGAGATGGGGAATTATGTTTTCAGGTTTTTGCACACTCTACACCCATGTATGAAATGTATATGTACGAATTTAAATTGTGCAAATTGACTTAATTGGATTCACCAATGTGTATGTGGTGGACCTATGGTTATTATTTTAAGTGATGCTAGATTCTTTTTTATGTGTAGTGTGATTGGGACATTGGTTATTGTTTATAGTTATTTATCTGATTTTTGATAAAAATATTTAGTGATACGATAGTAGTTTGTTGATGATAATAGGTTTATGAACAAATAGAAATCTTATATATATATATATATATATATATATATTAAATATTAAATATAAACAATACAACACTCACATTTTTAACTCACTTTATTTAATAACTACAGACATTTTGGGACCATAGTATGCCTTATCTTCAGTGTAATTTCAAAACAATAAAAATTATATACTATTATTGAATATTTTATTTAAATATAAATTATATAATTATGGATATTATTATAATGTAAACAATTTTTACATTATAATATTTTTGTTTACATTATAATAATATTCATCCTCAACCCTTCATCTTCGACACTTAAGATTTGTTTTCAAATATTTCTGTATATATTAAAATGTTTAGTACTATGTCAAGCATTTAAGAGATATTTGGTGTTTTTTGTTTTTCAAATTCTTAAATATAATTTAAATAAAATATTAAATAATATATTAGTGTATAATTTTTATTGTTTTGAAATTACATTGAAAATGAGGCATACCTTGGTCTCGAAAGGTCTGTAATTATTAAATAAAGTGTGTGTAAAAATCTGAGTGTTGTGTTGTTCATATTTAACATTTAATATATATATATATATATATTATATATATATATATATATATATAAACTTAAAAATTCAATTTATAACCCATAAAATTTGATTCGACTCATCTCCATTTATAACCCATAAAGCAATTAAATTATTTATATAAAAAGAAAAATAATTATTGAATTTAACTAATATAGTTAAATTATAAAATTCCCAAAAAAATATGGAACAAAAACTACAAATAGATGAAAATAATATAAAGATATGCAATAAACTGAAATTTTAATTATTTAACTGTAGTTTTTATTTAATAAATAGATGAATATTTGAAAATCTAACTATATATATTCATCTAACAATTAAATAAAAATTAAACTTGTAAAATTTTAAAAATTCATACATACGTACAAATAATTTAAATAAAACAATAAAAATAACAATATGCAATAAACCAATAACAAATAACAAGCAAAAATTATTGAATATATTTAAATTTTGCATGAAAAAAAATAAAATAGACAAAATGAGATACAAAAACTATCGATAAATTTAAATTAAATGTGGTTTATAAATCAGCAAGTTGAGTATATATATATATATATATATATATATATATATATATATATATATATATATATATATAATGATTTATTTATTAAATGAAAAACAAATTAGAAAATTTGAAAGTTAATTTTGTCTAAAAACATATGTTTGTGCCCTGATTCGACTTATCTTCAATGCGATTTATATAAATTATTTAATTATTATTTCTTATTTATTTATTCAACGCCCAAGGCAATAATACAAAATAATTACATTTTAAAGTGTACAAATTATAAAATAAATAAATAAATAAATAATATGTGAGAAAAGTGGAGTATTAATCATGAAGTGAAATAATTATTCAATTTAACTAAATAGTTACAAAAGTAATAAAATAATAAACAGAAAAAAAGGAAAAATAATATTAAGATATAAATACTGTCAATAAACTTAATTTTTAAATTTAAACTATTAGACTAGTGTCTGAAAAAGCATAAGCATATCTTTCGAGACCTGATTTAATTATTTTTCTGGGTGACTAAAATTTAAATATAGAACAAAATGAATAACAAATAAATATACATAATATATGTAATTAATTAATTGAATAAACATAGTTAAAAACTTTTTTTTTGACTTCAGAACTATTGACTATTTCAACTATTCTATAATAATTACAATTATTAATTATTAAATTTAAACTTAAAAAAGAATAGGGATTAATTAGTAAATAAACAAAAATAATATTTGTTTTTCATTTAAATTTCATTTTAAAGATCTTACTAAGTTCTTTTATATTTCATTTAAATATTTTATTTTAACTAATTATATTATTTTGGCTATTTGTGGGATTTTTTTTAAAATTGTATAAGAATATAACAAAATCACAAATAATTAAAAACTTAAATAAATATTTAAGTTATTTAGAAGCAACTATTATTTTAGTATCAAACGTTTGGAGTCCTATCTCGACTCATATTCAGTCCCGATCAATTTTATTTAAAGTTAAAAAATAATAAATAATTATTGAATATAAGTAATATGTTTATAAAAACAAAAAATATGAAATGGAATACTATAAATGACCAAATAATTAAAAATTCAATTCATAAATGTAATTAGTTATTTATTAGATTGATTATTTTAGGATTGAAAAAATAGATTAAAATATTTATTCCAAGTATCATACTTTTTGCCTTTTTTGTTATATGAATATCGATTAATATTTTAGAACAATTTTTCATAATTTATAAGCTATATTTAGTTTATAAATTGAAAAAATATTTACTTTAAATAATAATTAACTTTTGTTATGGTTTCAGACTGATTTTCATAAAGCCAAGAATTATATGTGATTGTAGAATAAAATAAAAGTAAATATTGTGATTTATAAAGAACAGTAAACATATAAAACCTTGTTAACTAGTAATATTTATATTTATTTAAAAAATTAAAGTGCTTTTAGAAAACTATATGAAACAAAACATGAGGTGATTATGAAATCCTGTTGTTTATTATTTACCTATTCATTTAAAAGTTAAAAATAATTAGTAATTTTGTTTCATGAAAACAACAATTAACGAATTTAAGAAATACTTATGGATAGAAATGATGTGGATAAATTAGAGATAAAAAATTGAATTTTCTATTTTTATTAGATTGTTTTTTTTATTAACTCTGAAAATTTCTTTCAAGCTATGGTTTCTTTGGAAAAGTTTCTTGTACCGACCTATAAAAATTGTAAATATCCCAGAATTGTAAACTTGGGAAGTTAATTACTGGAGAAAAATTGTACGTGATTGTACTTGTAATAATGTGAATGATGATCCACATCAAGTGTCGAAACGTATACTAAAGAATTGTTTCTATATTAACTTTTTTATTTTGATGAAAGCGATGAAAGGACAAAATCATCAATCAATATACAATTTCCTATTTCTTCTATTTCCAGTGTGAAGAATGTGGGTAGTTTCAAGAGCCTCAAGAAGTACGCCTGGAACGAGATCAACCAGAGCTGTGCCCAGAAGCACTGCCTCAACAGTGGCAATGGCACTAGAATCCATCATTTCAGTACAACTGGGTCAACGAATGGTTCGGGAAACCAGCAAGGTGGTGGTGGTACGTTGACAAAAGGTATGACAAAAAGTTGGAAATGGAGAAGTGTTCTATCCGTTTTCGACTGGTGGATTTTAGCCGCAGGGGGATGGGTGACCTGGAGAGGCGTCCTCACCAGATGGACCCCCTTGGGAATCTGTCTGATTGTCGCCATGCAATGGAGATCTAGGAGAAAGGATGGAGGAGCTGATGTAAAGACTGCTAGCGACTTTGAGGTCAGTCGGGGCAAAGGAATAGAGCAAGGGTCTAACCTAAACTGTTCTGAGTTTACATACAGGAATAAAGCGGATTGCTATCTATCTATATATGTGTGTCGGATGAAATACGGTGATATTAGTTTTTTATTAAATTAGATTATAAATGGAAGCAGCAATATTGGTGGATGAAGTATCATTGTATCCTTTGATCCCCATCAATCACTTTGCCAGCTTCTTTCTTATGGGACAATTCTGGCATAACAGAGCTCATAAAATAGCGTTGTCATGGTAACAGCATCTTATGCTTTTCCTTTTGTTAGTGAACTGTGAAAATGTCTATCTATTTGCCATGTGATCAGGTATATTTTACATACAAATGATATATTTTAATACATTTTTATACTGGTGACCCCGACGTGATACTGTATAGAAATATAAAAATTATAGAAGGATATTTCTATGTTTTATAAAAATGTATTAAAATATCTCATTATCAAAACTATACAAAATGTCATGACATGATATTTGTACAGTTTTGATAATCATAATTTTTAATATATTTTTATAAAACACAGAAATTTTTTTTTTAATAAATTTATATATTTCTATAACTGCATCATCTAGAATTCTGTTATCATAACATTCTTTATTGCTTGTTTATATATAAAATACTACGCCTGATCGCACAGCAAATAGTTAGACATTTTCACAATGTCCACTACCATAAGATAGCGTTTCCATGACAACGCTATTTTATGAGCTCTGTTATGGCAGAATTTCCCCATTAATATTAGTTTTAATCGATAGTTGATTCAAATCAATCTCACAGTCATGTCGTCTTGGTTTTGGTTTTTGTGTTTGTATTGCGTCTAGGTTTTTTGTTAAATCGTTACACACATATTCATCAGGGTAGATTCGTGTCATTCACATTGGTTTTGTGCATTACACAAGAAATTTTTATAGGACTTAAATATTAAAAGATATGGAATATCTTATTTGAGCACTTTTGTTGTTTGATATATATATATATATCTATATATATATATATATATACCATATGATATATTGATATTGATATATATATGTATATATATATATATATATACATATATAATACATTTGTTAATTACAGCATGTGCTAATGAATTCATATTCCATTTTAATTTGTTTTACGATTTGTAAATGAAACGATGCAATCATTTAGTGATTGTGGTTTGAATTTAGCATGCTATATGTAAT